GAAGATCTGTGTATCATACTTCACGTGCCTTTTCCAGGGCACAGGGCTGTGTGCAGTTGGGTTGTTGAAGACAATGTGCCACGTTGAGCACAGTGGGGCCACTGCATATGAAATCTTTCCATCAATGGGTTTTGCAAGCCTTTTGTCAGTGTCAGTAAACAAAGCTCCACAATCCCAACCACCCCAAAAACAGTGTGTGAACTTATGTTCACACACAGGATTCTGGCTCAGCTTCCCAAAATAATGGCATGTGTGAGCAGAGGGGAGAACTGTTCAGATGTTTGATGTGAGGCCGACTTGGCCTTCGCCTGCAGTAAAAATAAATCATAGTTGCTCTCAAACACGTGGAAGGAGCTGTACATAATTTAGGGGCTAATCTCACCTTGTCAATTCCCTGGCCAGCAGCTCTTGAGTGGCACCAGCATGTGGCTTTTGGTCTTCCAGCAGACATTTACCATGAGAAGGTTTTGTAGGGTGATGTCTTTAACATAGGCTCAGTGTAACTTTGCAATCCAACAGTGTATTAATGAGTTGGTGCTGTCTGTGTGGGTGCTTCTTTTCATCATCCTTTTCTGTCACCTCACATGGAGTTCTTTGAAAAAAAACACAAAAAAGCAGGAAAAAAAGGCAAAAGAAAGTGGGAATATATTTACTTTCAAATATTACTATTTTTCTAGAGAGTTCCAGAAGATGTTCTGAAATGCATTTGAAAATGCCTGTAGAAAATTAATTCCCGTGAGATGCATTTATGTGACAGGGAAGAGAAAAACAGCTGTGATACAATCCTCCAATTGTATTAGGTTTGTGGGGTTTTGTGCTGCTCCTTTCACAAGGCATGCCTAAACCTTCTTATTTGCTATGTAAATACAACTTGCACCATCTTTCAGTAGAAGAAGAAATGATAAAAGAGATGCTGTAAGCAAAGGATGCGGTTGCCAAATGTGAAAAGGGCAAAACTACAGGCAGGGAGGAAAGGGAGGGAGCTCCAGGTTTTGTGCTTCTCACAGCCTTCCCAACTCCTGCAGTGCTCCTTTTGCCTTCATGCAGCAGCAACATGTGTAAATAATCCTGCACGGAATCTGGACGTGCTCAAGAGAACGCCAGCATTGCTGCTGTTGAGCTGCTGGATTAGTTGTACCTCACTTGGCCAGCCCTGCTTTAGGTGCAGCACAGGGAGCAGACAGGGCCTCCTGCCTGCCAGCACCCCATCCCATCTCCTTGAGGGTCAGGCTCAGGAATGTAGAACTCGCCAGAAAGTGAAGTCATCGTGGTTTGCTTGGACATTGAGCGTGGAACTTGGAGTGCAGCCTCTCCTTGCGATTACGTGAGCAAGTGCTGGCTCGTAGCACGCAGCCGGCAGGCTGAACCTTTGGATTGTGACCCCGGGGGGACAGCTTGATGGATGTCTTCTGTCATCCCTTACCTTGCCAAAGCCAGTGAGCCTCACCCAGGAAATCCTCTCTGCAATTTCTGCTCCAGGGGCACCTAGTTATCTTCATTCGTGGGACAGAAAGTGCATGATGTCTCTTGCAAAGTATTATTGAGTACACCGAGTCATTGGCTGGAGACTTAGGTGCCAAAATTTAAAAAAAAAAAATGAGAGATAAGGTAGCAAATATCCCTTCTTGCAATCAAAGCTGCTTTTGTTATAGGAAAACACTAGTCAGAGTCATTTGGGAGCACCAGGCAGAGGTGAGCAGCCCATCTAACCACATTGTGGTTGTATGACATGTGGTGCATTTTCCTCGTGGCAAATAAAAAGTGCTGGTCACTTGTCATGTCACTACTTCAGGAAAGGGGAACAGAGAGAAATGGGGGGAAAAGACAATCCATTATTTATGTGACATTTTTTCCCTATGAGCAAATCCCTACCATGATTTTCCTTCCACCAAGCCAAAATCTGCCTCCACAAGCCTGAGCTCTGTGTGGAGGTTGGGAAATAAAAGAGAAGGGAAAAACCTAAACATTTCTATTTTCTTGCTAGTTAAATGTGCCCTGAGTAGAGAGAGGCTCCTCTGGGAGTTGCAATTGCTCCCTTGTGGACGCTGGAAATGTTTTGGGGTTTGTTTTTTATATGATTGCAGCTCTAATCTCAATGATGGCAAAACTTAGTCTTCTGCTATTACTGCCAGCTCTCTAGATAGAGCAGGGAAGAAAAAAGTGAAGTATCACTTTGGGGTGTTTCTGGGGAAGAAATGTTTCCACAGCCATAAATTGCTTTCTTGGGAGCACTGAAAATTCCTATTCCAGTGCTGTGCTTTGTGGAATCAAAGTCAGCAAAGTCTTGGATTCATAAGGAGTAAAAACTGAGTCTTACCTAAAACCTTTAAGGTCTTGATATGGCAATTCATGGTAAAAACGAACAGTAAAAATAAAATAATTAAGTTTATACATTTCTAGTTGTGGTAGTGTTGGTGTTTTTTAAAGGTGCTTGTCTTGGAGCAAAGATTGTCTTGTGAAACATTATCTGAAGAATCTGTCTGTTGAAGCAGTGCTGCAGTGCTGCTTTCCCCAAAGTTAAAAATTCACAGCTTATTGGTAGCCTGAGATAATCTGGAGGTTTGATCTCTGTTCTGTGCTGTAGGATTTAGGTGCTTTCGCACAGGTTGCAGTCTCTTCGTGGTTTTGCTTGGATCTGAGAATCATTTATATGTAAATGATCCTGATCCCCTGTTCTTTAACTCCTTACCAATTAACTTGGTTTTTGAAGCTCACAGTTGTGTGAGCAAAATTGGCAAGTGGTGCTTCCTGGTGAAAAACTGGGTGGTGTTAGCATGGTGATCATGATTGCTGGAGCTCATTACCAAATTGACTCTTTGAATAATCAAACCTTTGAACTCAGTGCAGTGGTATCCCATCCCGTCTCACTCCGTTAGGCAACTTCCAGGCAGCTCTTTCATGTCGTCTTACAACTTGTCCTATGTAAATGGTGGATGTGTTTATTTTCAAAAGCAGCAAGAAAGCCCGGTGGAACAAGAAAAAAGTTGGAAGAACAAGCCCTCAAAGAGATTTTGACACTGGTGCCAGGGGGTTTATGAAAGATAAAGCAGCTCATTTTTTTATGGCTAAAGGAAAATGCCATTAAATCCCTTGTGCCTAACTGCTGCAGTAAACTTGCCAGAGCTATTCCAAAAGCAGCATGCCGTAGGATATTCAATGATTTTCAATAAAAACTAGGCTTAAAAATGCAGATCTCCTGTGTGTAGATCAAGGAGAGCTCCAGGGTGCTCAGTATATGTTTCTATACTCTCACACATGACTATAAGAATTATTTTAAACAGGGTTTTGCTAGCTCTGACTTTGAAACTGAATCCACTGTATCTCCTCAGCTCCTTTGCACATGGCATAGGCAATTTTGCAGAAGGGAAATAACTTGTTATTGCAAGAGTAAATGGAAAAAATTTTATAGGTTGCCATCTACCAATCTAATCTATATTATGAAGAAATAAAACATACTTGTGGCAAGTCCTGCTGCAGTAAAAATGTAATATTTGCTGAAGTTCTCTACAAATTTTAGTCCTCCCTGTTACCATCAGGGGGAAATCAATGCTTGGTGACCTAGTGCAGCTTTGAGCAGAAACTGGAAGAAATCTGTCAGGGTCTGCGTGTTTTTGCATTGTATTTTTCAGAGTTGATTTAAACTCAGGGTTCATGGTGAAAGGAAGGTGGCAGGAGAAGGCTGGAAAATCTGATCACTGAGTGCTGGAGACCTGTTTTCAGATTAGTGTCCTGGTGCTTAGGTGAGCTAGTGTAGAAGCTCCATTTCCTGTTGCTGGACATGGAGCAACAGTGACTGTAGGCTTTTTGGATGCTGGAAGAGGTGGGATGGTAGTGAGATGTTACAGCATGAAAATTAAAGTGCGAATGGATCAGACAAGCCTTTTCATATTGCTTCCTCAGCCTCAACCTTTTCTCAGGCAGGGATTGAGGGGGCAGTTGTGAATATCTGGCATTTAACTGGAGTAAAAGTCTTATGCTGAGAGAAGCTGGAGGGTGTTTATCTTTGAGAGAGGTAGAGGAGATGCGAGAAGCAAGCTTTTTCACGAGCTGCGTGTGACGTGGCAAGACAGGGGTGATGGGGGAGCAGCTGGGGGCAGCCTACTTCAGCTTCCCCACCTGATACTTCAGGTCAAGCCATAGCTAAATCCCTATGAAGCTCCAGTCTGTGCAAGCACCTTGGTCTAAATAGGAGGTTAAATAAGGCAATTGTAAGGTGGGCATCCCTCAATATTCCCCGCACACTCGGTACTTGGTGCAGCTATTGGATGCATGGATGCAGTGGGTTAATGCACTTGTAAAGCATGTCCCCCACCTCTTGCTGCTTGAGTGCTCATTGCAGGTTTTCAGTGAAAAATCTGAGTATTAAAGTCTTGAGGATCTGGCTGGGCTGATGTGCACTTTTGCTTGTGTCATGTGGCCTGCAGATCAAGGGGGCAGGCATTGCTCTTGGGATGGAGCAGCAGAGTACCAACCTCAGAGAAAATTGATGGCTTGCTCTATAGTGCAGCCTTGTGTTCATCCCTCTGTGCACTTTTGATTTTGGGAATAGATTTGTGGTTTGGTTTTGTTGTTTTGGGGTTTTTTTATTACGCTATGGAAGACATTTTTCTGTCCAAACCTGACCCTGTCTGGGTCTTCAGCAACGCTTAACAATTAAAAGCACTTCTGTGCTAGGTATTCCCTAAAAGATGGAAAATTAGATTTTTACATTAAAATACCAGGAATGAAAATGGTGAGGGCATAAAACGCTGCTTTATTTTCATCAGATGGTAGTGTTTTTGGAAAAGCAGTTGTTCTCCAGTGGTCATTGCCCCCCTGTGTGCTTCTCTCACTGTTTGCTCCAGCTTCTCTCTGCATGGCGGCTGTGCAAAAAGCCTTGCCTCAGTCGTAGCTCCAGTCACACCCTGCAGGGCACTGGAGTCATCAGAGGGGACATCCTCAGGACCTAGGCTTGAGTCCTGTTCCCTTCCTCTCTCTAACCAGCTCTGCCTTTGTTGCAGGAGTATCGACATCGGGCGCTCTGGGCCCGGGGAGCACCACTGCCAGCACCACGCCGCGCCTGGCCACCAGCACCACCGGCCGCACCACCACCACATCGGGCTCGGGCAGGAGGAACAGGAGCACCAGCACCCCGTCCCCCATGGCCGATGTCCCCGAGGAGATGACCACGCACCTGCCGCCCGCCTCCTCCCAGCTGCCGCCGGCCGGAGCCGAGAGCTGCGACCCCATGGAAGCCCGCGACATTATGTGGTCCCGGACCCGGCAGGGCCAGGTGGCGAAGCAGCCGTGTCCCTTGGGCTCCATAGGTGAGTCAAGGGCTGAGAGGGCACAGCAGGCTGTCTCCACTTCCTGTGACACCTTGTCAGTGTGCAGCCTGTACTCAAAAACTTGTGGGGCTGTGCTTGATGTGCTGGAAGAGCCTCTGCTTCCAGAGCGCCTTACCTGGTTTTGCCTGTCTTTGTCGCCATTGAGCTCACTGACTGATGTGTCGGTGGCTAATTCTTTGCTTGTTTTGCTAAGAGAGAGGACAGGGGAGGAAATCAACCAAACTTTTGCTTTGAAGCTCCTGAACCAGTGTGAGTGATTTTTTTTTTAAACTGCAGCCAGCATCCAGGGTGATCAGCTGGGAAAATGTGGAGGGGGGTGGGGGAGAATAAAGCCAAATCTTTCAAAATGGTTTATTGCTTATTGGATTTTGCTCCTTTTCTTCTGCTCTTCCCGCAATTGTTTTCTTGAAAAATGTTGCTTTTGGAAATTTTCTGTTCAATTTGAAACATAATCGCGTTAAGAATGGGTTTTGGCATATGCTTCAGTTTGCCGTGCTTTAACAAATGCAGTTTTCTAAAAATAGTTATTTTTCATGCTTGTCTTGGTGTCCAGCCCCAAAAGCTCACTTTCAAAGCAGAAATCTTAAAAGTGGAGGAAATTGCCTGAAAATGAGGGCTGAAGGGATCTGACTTGCAGGGGAGAGACTCTGTGTTAATTCTCCACTCCTGGAGAGCCATTCACCTGTGTATATTATAGAGTACTGGCTCACTCTGGAACTTGGTGAGGACAGACTGATAAAATACATGTTAAAGTATGAGGAGAATGGAAAGGTATCAGGGGTAAGAATAGGTAAAGAACATTTTTGCTGTCTTTCCTAGCCCTCCTTGGTAAAATTAACGCAAAAAGTATGATGTGATTCCCAGAGAGGGGAAAGGATATTCCGAACCAAAGCTGTAAAAAGGAAAAGAAGATGAAAAAGGAAAACGAAGGCTGGATGCAGGGAGTTCTTTCCTAAGCACTAGAGCTGAGGACTGGATGAAAATAACTAAGGAATAGATAATAGTTTAACTTATGGATAGGGGATGGCCACAAGCCTTTCCCATCTATAATTTCAGTGATTCATGCAACTTGCTAAAAGCTGTGATATATTAACAGTGGTGCATTTCTCTTTGTCTGAAAAGGTCTGAGGCATTTTTTTGTCTTTTCCAGCAGGGATCAGGCAGCTCTTCCCAAACAAAACTCTCCTCTAAAGTCCCTCTTGACAGCTGGGGGCTGACAGTAAACCCCAGCATTATATCTTGGCTTTTGTAGAGTTCAGACTTTTGTGTGTTTCCAGCTAAATGTTGTAATGATGATTCAGAGCCATAAAATAAGCAGCACAGAAGATGAGGCACAGGGTCTGATCCCAGATCACCAGTGGTGGGGCAGAGCGCTCAAGGTGCTGGTTCAGTGTTTGAGATCTACTTCTGGTTTCTTAGTACCTGGCAGCTTTCCTGCAAGTCCTCTGCCTGTAAGTGCTGTTTGCCAAATTGGAAATAATATTCCTGCACACCAGCTTAGGTCTTTTATGTCTTAGGGCCCTTGAAGGACCGAGATGGGAGATTAGGACACTGAGATGACTCAGAAGCGTCCTAATCAAGATCTTTGCACTAACAAGCTCCCAGAAGCCTTTGACACGGGCTGCTGGGGACAAAATGCAACCAGTCATGCTGAACACAGCGACTTTCCTGTTACAGGTGTTGCAACTTTCCGGTGTCTTGCACCTGATGGTATCTGGGAACCCCAAGGACCTGATCTTAGCAACTGCTCTTCACCCTGGATCAACCACATCACTCAAAAGGTAAAGCCTCTCCCATGCTGAGCACTCTGAGTCTTCACAGTGACCTTGATCAGCCTCCTGGTTTTCACACAAGGAACCCAAAAGGATCAACAGTCACACCTAAAGCATGAGCTGTGCACAGTAGCCAGGAATTGCAAGGAAAAAGCAAGTGTCTCACAGAAATTAAGGCAAAGAGGGTAAGGGAAGGCAAAGGAGAGGGACTGGAGATTGGAATTGAGCTAGAGTGAATGACATTTCTTGTTTGTGGCAAGAAAAGGAAGAAGAGGGAGGAGGACGTGGGTGGACATATGGAAAGTACTGAGTTGTTGAAAAAAGTAAACACCCTTTCATGCATCCTCAAGCGTTTTTTCATGTCATGCAAGCGCAGGATAAACCCCACAGTTAAGAAATTTTTACCAAAGAAAGGCAGGCTCAATGTGAAATGTTTGGTTTGTGCCTCTGACTTTCTGTTTTTAACTTCTGCCCAAATTATAAAAGAACTGATGGAAAACAATGCTGCAGTAATGCTTATCTTTTGACTCTTAAGTCCCTTGATGAATGTTTTCTAGCACTTCATCATTTATCAGTGTTAAAAGTGCATTAACATGTGACAATAGAAGTTCAAGACAAGCAGAGCTTATTTGGTAGCAATATGTTGAGCATTTTTGTTATTAATGCACAATGGTGCTTTCAGCTGATTTCATTACAAACAGAGACCAGATGTGTGTTTACGCCACGGAGTCTGTGGGCTGAATCTTTATTATAGCAATTTGTGGGGATTTATTCACTCCTTCAGCCAGAGTGAGCGGGTCCTGGCGTTGCAGCTGAGCTTGCTGCCGCACAGCAGTGAGACAGAGCTCCCAAAGAGCCGCTGCTCACTGGTCAGTGGGATGGGGTCACCCCACAGACAAGACTCTTGGACATTTTCCCCTCTACCCCCGTCTAAACAGAGGCCTAACAACCTTATATCCGTGCTTATACCCATCCCTCCACAAAGGAAAATGTGGGGCTGCTGTGATACAGCACAGCCACTGCAAAGCCCGTGGTCCTTCTGTCCCTCTGCTGCCGTACACCCAGCGAGCTGATGAGTACAGGCTGCCTTTGCTGGCATTAGCAGCTGTGTGCAGCTCTTGTTTTATGACCTACGTACTTACCCTGGAGGGGTTAATATTACTTACTCCAGCCATAATTCACTCAGGCAGCTGGGAGACCTCTTGCTGCTCAGTGAAGATGACTAGGCCGTTAGCCATTAGCAGAGGGAAATAATAGCCTGCACTGATGAAATCTCCATCAAGGTTAGGCTTTTTTTATTTGAAACCCTAGCTATCATTTGCGTAACAAATGAACCCCATTTAATTTGTTACGTGCTTTCAAAGCAGGCTAAAATTGAACAGGCAAGTTTTTAGAAATGCCCAGCAGGTTACAACTGGGACTAGATTGATTTTTTTTTTTTCCTGAAGGAATTTAGTTATGTTCAGCATTGAGTGCCTTCTACCAGTCGCTAGAAGGACTTGGGGAAGCTATGAGATGGCCCTGGATCTAAGCTTTTTGCCTGAGTGGGAATTCATTAGGATCTTCCTATGTGACCCAACCTCAATGACAGCTGTTACAAAACATCAAGACTCTTCAGGAGTGACTTTTGAGGGGGAAGGCTTGCAGGGCTCGCCTAGGGGTTTGTGTTGGGGGTTGCAGTCATTGAAACATTTATATTGAAAAAGACCTCTAAGATCATTGGGTCCAACCATTCACCCAGCACTGCCACATCCACCACTAATCCATGTCCCTAAATGCCATGTCTACATGTCTTTTAAATCCCTCCAGGAATAGTGACTCAGCCACTTCCCTGGGCAGTCCGTTCCAATACTTGACCACTTTTCCTAATACCCAATATAAACCTTCTCTGGTGCAACCTCAGGTGATTTCTTTTTGTCCTATCATTTATTACCAAGAGAAGAGAATGACACCCACCTTACTACAACCTCCTTTCAAGTTGTGAAGAGGGGTAAGGTTGTCCTTCTCTGGACTCACTCCAGCACCTCAATGTCCTTCTTTAGTGAGGGGCCCAGAACTGGACACAGCACTCCAGGTGCCAGTGCTGAGTACAGAGGGACAATCCCTGCCCTGCTCCTGCTGGCCACACTGTTGCTGATCCAGGCCAGGATGCCATTGGCCTTCTTGGCCACCTGGCACAGCTGGCTCATGTTTTATGCTGGGCAGCTTTTCTGTTACCCTTCCCCAACCTGCAGTGCTACATGGGATTGTTGTGAGCCAAGGGCAGGACCTGCACTTGGCCTTACTGAACCTCGTACCATTGGCCTTGGCCCACCGATCCAGCCTGTCCAGATCCTGCACATGCCACGTGAGGGGGCACTCAGTATGATTTGCTCCATGATATTGCATCACATTTTCCACATCCAGCCCACTAGGACACCCCTAGTTAGCCAGGACTACTGATAAGTGATGGAAAGTGGCTCAGCAAGCTCTTCTGCCAGTTCCATCAGTGCGTTTGGGTGGATCTCATCCAGACCTATAGACCTGTGGATGTGTAAATGATCTATCAGGTCACTGACCCTTTTTTTTCCTGGGTTGTGGGGGTTTTCTTCTGCTTCTCATCCCTGTCTTCCAGGGTGCTGGGTACCCTGAGGACAATGGGTCTTGCTGTAAAAGACTGAGCCAAAGAAGGCATTAACTACCACCTCAACTGTTTCCTTATTCTTCGTCACTGTATTTCCCCCCATATCCAATGGAGATTCTCCATAGCTCGCCTTTTGTCATAAGTGTATCTAGAGAAACATTTTTTATTGTCTTTTTTTTGGCAGCTGATAGGTAAAGTTCTAGTTGAGCTTTAGTCCTGCTAATTTTCTCCCTGTATAACCTCACAACATGCCCTTCTGAGTTACCTGCCCTTTTTCCAGAGGCCATAAGCTCTCCTGATTATTTTAATTTTTTTCTTACTCCAGCCAAAGCTCTCTGTTCAGCCAGGTCAGTCTTATTCCCCACCAGCTCATCTTTTGGCATATGGGTATGTCCTACCTTTAAGATTCAGTAGGCTCCTTACAGTAAATACAGTTTTAAATTACTTATGAAATAACCAATAGGCATTTGGTTTCCCTGCTCAAGCAAGAGGCTTGAAAATCATCAATCACTGCACTTAAAGATGGAGACTGATTCATCCATAAATCAACCACTGGTTTCTAACATCCCTGCTGTGGATGGGATGCTTCCCAAAGCTTGCAGATTTGCTCCAGCACCTCTCTGAAGATGAAAAAGGAGCCTTCCTCCTCTAAATCAAACCCGCTTCTCGTCTTGCTGCTGTGGGGACAGCTAGAGGGAGCAGCATGCCAGCTGTGCAGCTGTGCTGTGAGGGCTGGGCTGGTTACACCCTGCAGCTCAGCTCTCCTGCATCCCTAGCTCTCCTGGTCACTCAGCCCACTGCAGCTGCAACACAGCTGACAAAATGGGTAAAAATACTTCCTTGTCAGCCAGCATTCATACCTGCTCAGCGTGTCTTCGTTCCTAATCTGCTTTGTCTCCCAAAAATCTGTCATCTGCTGGATCCAAGCTGCTCATGAAGAACGGTGATGGGTCCCCTGGAGAGATTTCAGCCAAGCCAGAAAAGATGGTAGGGAAATGCTGTGCTCACTTTCATATCTGTGTAGTGAAGTAAGAATGATTACTTACTTCTTCTCTTTCTCCTGCTGTGCTCAGACTGTAGATTGGGTGTTTGCCTGCTTGCATCACGGTATTAGGTTTTACAGCCGTTTCCTAGCTTCCATTAGAGTTATTGTGCTTGATGGAAGATCAGAACAAATGTTCTCCTCAGTAATTCACTGGCCTCCTGACATTTACTTTAACTTTATTGTTGGTGCCTACCATGCCCTCGTAACGGACTGGGAGAATAAACTTGCCAGTGAGATTGAATTATGCACTGCTACCTGGGTTATTTCTAGAGTCAAGCAGTAACAGGAAGCAAAAAGGTCAGCTTTGGATACATTGCATCATCCTGATCATGAGGTCACACGATCAGTCTCAGCCTGTTTGTTTTGCCTCTTGCTTTCATCAGTGCCATCCTTAGCTCAGCGTGTGACTTGCCTGAAGACATGTCTTCCTTGCTGCAGCTTTCAGCTGTGGATGCTGTCTGGGAGGACAGGCACTGCTATGCTAAGCTTCAAGCCTCTGGAAGAGAGGAAGCCTCTTTTGTAGCAGAACAGAAAAATTTATGCCCTTCACAAATGCACAAAAAGCCTCAATCTGTAAATCTAAAGCACATGCCACCCATGCCCTTCTGAGTGGCCTGGACCACGAACTCCTAAAGAGCAGGTGAACCTTGGGATTCGTAGCACCTTCCTGAGCTCTTGTAGATCTGCTTGGGTGTGTGTTTCAGGGAGAGTGTGGTTTTGTGGAGGACATCCTCACATCATCGTGTCCAGGTGTGAGGGTGCAGGTGCAGTCCTGATGAGAATATGATGAAATCCTCCATCCAAATTGCTTTGGGCTGTTTTCAGAGCACCATCACGAATTGGATGGAGCAGATGACACAGAGGATGGCTTATTAAAGGATCATTTAATGCAGTTTAACTTGGTTGAATACCATGTTTCAAAGCCACTTTTTCAGTGTTCTTTAGGTCAGCTGTGTTCTATGGAGAGCATTGTCTCTTCTCCCAGGCAGCTGGCAAAAGGACAAGAGGACACAAGCTGTGCCAGGGGAGGTTTAGCTTTTTGCATCAGGAGGCATTTCTTCATAGAAAGGGTAATTGGGCACTGGATTGGGCTGCCCAGGGAGGTGGTGGAGTCACTGTGTCTGGAAGTGTTTCAGGAAAGGCTGGATGTGGTACTCAATGCCTTGGTCTAGCTGACATTTTGGTGTTTGGTCATAGGTTGGACTTCATAATCTTAGAGGTTTTTTCCAACCTAAATGATTCTGTGATTCAGACAAAAAGAAGAAAAAAAAAAAAAAAGGAAGGGATGATAGATATGCTGACTCTTGTGTGAATGCACACATATATATTGAAATTCCTGCCAGGGAAGAAAAAATTCCATGAAGGCTTTGCAGTGTCAGAAGTTAGGCCACAGCCCCTCTTACAGCCTTGCTACCTGAATGCTGGCAGCTAATGGTGCCTGGTGAAACCTGTCAGGTGTTTGTTCCTCCAAAAAATAGCATCAACTTCATGGTCTTTCCAGCTGACCAGTCCATCTGTTCATTACTGTTTTTAAAAATTCTAGTTCAGTCTGTCATGCCATCTTTTTATTTTTTATATCAGTTTGCCTCTTCAGAAAGCTGCAGGAGAATACTTTTGCCTTTATGCCTACTGGTGTTTTAGTTTATTTGCTCCTTTCTCAGCATATTTCTTATTTCTTCTGAATTTTCCTCCCTAAATACTTTTTTTTTTTTTTTTTTTTAATTTCTCTCACTTTTATTCTGCTGTCCTCTTCTGCAGTTGGGTTTCCTCTGTGAAAGGTAGGGCTGAAATAGTGAGCACTGCTGCGAGAGGGTCTTTCTTTGTCTTTCCAGACAAAACTCCCTGCTTCAGTTTGTTGGCATATATGAGAGAATACAGAGAATACTCCAAAAACTATTATTTCACAGTCTTTTCAATCATAAGAAGGTGCAAGATAGTGGCACAAACTTAAATGTTAACAGAGTGTTCCACAAAGGGATTTCAGGTGTGCCAATGATCATTTGTAAATCTGGCCTGAATCCTGTCGTCCCAAATGGAAGAGGGGAGAAATTTTTTTGGCAGACCTATCAAACTGTGTTTTATGTGTTGGCATTGTTGGCAAGAAACATGTTTTCACTCCTTCAAATTAGCGTTCTGAGACTGGTTTTAATCAGTTTGTAAAAGGTAAAAAAACAACAGGCCAAAAAACAGCAGAAACCAAAAATTTGGTTTCAAATTTGATTTGAACAGAATGTTTTCTTTTATCCCAGAATCCTATTTAGTTTTCAAATTTAATTTTTTCATAATCAAGGTAGAAAATGTGAAAAAGTAATCTTATATCAGGGAGAGATACATTACTTTTAATTCCCTTTATTGTTCTCAAGCCTCCCAGTAGAAAGGTCAGTTTCTTACACATTTTTTCCCTAGTTCTTACTTGCCTCTTAATATCAGATTTAGCCATGGAGAACCTCCAAGGGTTGTTCCTGTATTCCTATGTAACTATGTCAGTATTTAGGTTAAAGAGTATTACATGTTTTGGAAGAAATAACAGAAAGAGCTCATCTTTCATGCAGCAATAATGAAGAGAAAGATGTGGAGAAGTAATTTATAGAAAGGAAGCAAGTTAGTGATGCATTCTCTTGGGCAGCAATAAGCTTTGCTGAGCATTATGTAGATTTAAGAAAAAAAAAAAAAAAATAAGGGTCAGTCCTGTTGTTATCTTAGCCCTGGAATATCCAGGCAGCATTTGGGACTCATAAGAGAAGTTGGGTTTGACAGCACTGCATAGGAGACACTTCAATTTCAGTGGAAAAAGCTGAAAAGAACCAGGGAAATCTGCATTAGCGTGTCTCACAGCCATCATTCTGGACACCCCTCTCATGTATGGGGCCAGAGTGGAAAGAGTGTCTCAGCACTGCTGTAGTGACTTGTAGCTGCACATTCTGTGTGACCGTGTGTAGGTGTGGAATTGTCAGTGCTAGGACGTAGTTTCATTACCTGCCAGCCAAAAACATTTTCCCAGAAGAATGGCACATCTGTGTTTTCAGGAAACCTGGGTGTGTGAGATAACTTTGGGTAAATACTTCTCTGTCCCAGGAGTTCACAGAGCCTGAGCTTTAGTCTGCCTTTTTTTTCTCAGGCATTTCTTCCATTGCTGCCTATTTTTTGTGTTGTTTATGTGGCCACAGTATAATTCCTCAGATTTGCAGTTTTTAGGGTCAGTCCAAAAGAAAAGGAAAAGGTTTAATTAGTGACCTGCCTGCATCACTTTTACACAGAGATAGGAACGGCAGCAGCCTGCAGGGACAGCAAATTCTTGTGTTTGCCTTTGGAGCAGCTGAGCAATTTTCTCTGAGTGTGACAGTTTGCATAGGTGTGTGGTCCAAGGGAAAGTGTGAGCATCAAATATTGGGTAGCAGGGTTTTTGGTTTTTCTCTGAGGTATCTGTAAAAAATATCTTGAATTCCCGCAGTTTTCTGCAGAGCTTACACAAACACAATGTGTTGTGATCCATGCTAAGCTCCAGCAATGAGCTGCAGGAAAATGTTGAAATTTATTTCTTTATGTAAAGGGATTTGATGCAGTCATTCTTTCAAGTTCTGAGAGCCAACAGCAGAGGTCAAAATACAGCCTCTGTGCTGATGCGTGGCTTCCTTCAGCTGCTTAGGAGAGCAGACAGCTGTAAGAGTAGGATCTGGTTTCTATGGCATTAGTCTTCTGTGTAACAAGAAATAATTCAGTTTTTGAATATATCTTATCATTGCTCTAATGGGAAGAACAACATATTATCTCCTTTATTTATCTTCTCTGTATCATCATATGCGTTAATTCTCTGAAGACGAGCATATGAACATCTTGAGTTAGATTTCATTAAATCAGATTGGCTTTTGCTGTCAAATTGATGGAAGTAAGTTATTCATTTTTAACTCGGCTAATTGATTTACAGAGAGGTAGAAGCTCAGCCTATAATCTTTCCCTAGAATCTTGCTTTTATAATAAGCACCAGAAAGTGAGGGAACAAGAGAAATATCTGATTTCTAGCTGTTGGTAGATAAGACAATTGAAAATTCATATGAAGAACCCTGCAGAGTTTGCCATTGAGCCTGACAGAGAAGTGGGACATTCATTTATGTGTCATCCTGTATAATTTCTCCTTGTCCCAGGCATATTCCACATGGATTTGCATTCCAGATCACAGACTGGTAGATAATGAATAAAAGACCAGCAACCTGCAGTGGTATTTTTGTAGTGGGCTGCTCAGGAAAAGGAGATGGGGCAGCTGCCCTCTCCCAAATCCCCATGGCACAGGAGAGGAAAGGAATACCAGGGAGAACAAAAACAGAGCAAGAACCAGGGAAAAAAGCCACAGGGAAAAAGTGACAGTTTCCCAAATAATTATACAGTGAATTTCCCTGCAGGTTATTTGTGAGTGTTGTGACTCAACTAGATGATACAAGTCTTTTAGTAGAAGATTCAGCCAACCGATGTGCTGGCTTTTTGCTGTTGGGGGGCCTCTGCTTGAGCCTTTTGCTCTAGATGGATGTTTTTACATGTGCTCAGGGTCACTGGCGTCATTTTCAGTGGCTAGTGTGGCAAGTGATACTAAGTGATAAATTAGCACCTGATTATTAAATGAATAAGATGGAAATTGTGAACTTTTTTCTCTGTTTTTTCTGGGTTATGTCACCTATTGTTGCTCCTTTTACAAGAGCTGTGCAGAAGTTGTAATAAAAATCATCTCTTCGCTATCACATAAACTTCTGGAATCAGAAGCTGCTTTTTCTTGACAGGAGAGGCTACTTACATGGTTTGGTTTTTTTTTTCAAGTGGCACAGCAAGCCAAGGGGACAAGCTAATTAATGCCCTCCCTAGCATGGAAATCCCATGGAAAACAGTGCCCAGTGAGAAGAAATTGTTGAAGCCACCATAGTTGACTGGAAAAACCATACTCAAAAAACTATTCATGATCAAACCACAAATACTCTCGTAGTTGACTTCTTGGGAAATGCTTCTATTCCTCCTTCCTTCTCTTCTTCATCCCTTTTCTTCTTCTTGAGGGGAGTTGACCTGGTTAACGCCGTGGGGTGGGAAGGCACTGGAGTGACATCTCACTGGCAGCCAGGGACAGCCTTTCCCTCTGCTTTCTCACCCGCAGATGAGGTCGGGGGAGATGGCCGCCAACATCGCGCGGGAGCTGGCGGAGCACACCAGGAGCCACCTGTACGCCGGTGACATCGCCTACTCCGTGTCCGCCATGGTCCAGCTCGTCAACCTGCTGGACGTGCAGCTCCGCAACCTGACTCCCGGCGGGAAGGACAGCGCTGCGCGCAGCTTGAACAAGGTGAGAGCCACGGGGCCCTGCCGGCTGTAGCCTGCTGCTTAGCCCAAAAGCACCTTAACTGCATCGCAACAGTGTGGCTTCTGTGCCCACTGTTCAAGAAGAATTATTAGTCCTTTTGTCATTTCCGGAAGCGAGAGGAATTGCTAAGTAGCGCTAAAGGTGCTAGGAGTTGCCAGCTGTGGGAGAAAATATGAGCTGTGGACTCTGTAAGAATGCATTTAAAGGTGAAGGTTTCCTTAGTGAGAGGCCCTCACTGAATCTCATGTAAACACATGGGATAGGACCTACCTAGGAATTCTGATGGTGAATTGTGGGGGCCTGGTTGTCAGGACAAAGAGCAGCTGGACCCTGGTGACTATGAGCACATGGTTATATTGGCCACCCTGTTAAAATACGACGCAGAATTTTGTTCTCAGATGCATAGCAGACTCTGACAGTTCTGGCATTCATGTAAGCATGAACAGAACTTGGTCCCAAGATTATATGGGGAATAAGTGATCCCAGCTAAACCTGTATCTTCTTCGATGTTTATGAAGAGAAATGCTTTTCAGAGAAGTAATTTGGTCCCTTTTCTTGCAAGTTATAATTGTACACTGATGCTGTTTTAAATGCTATGAGCTTTGGGATTGCTTGAGATTTCAGTCGCATGGGAGCTGAACTTCTGCATCTCATGTGCTTTGCATGTGCTGTGAATTGGGTTATCCTGATGCTTTTAATTAGAGCTGCTTCCAGCCATTTTATAACAATGTAGGTAATAATTATATTAACTGTTACATCAACATAACATTATTTGTTATAATCATACCACAGTTCTTGAAATGATAGTGATGTCTGACAATATTAGGTAAAGCCAGCAATTAATGTCACCTACTAACGGGTTTCATGGTTGTAGTCTGCTTGCTCTTCTGGATGCGTCCCAGCCACACCCAACATTTTGTCAATTCAGCTTTGCAAGCACGTACTTTTCATCTTTGTTTTTATCTCACCTTATGATATTTGGTTCAATTACATGAAATGGGGTTGTATCATGGGGGCAGGAATGAGTTACTGAGGGGAAGGGAAGACTGGACAAGGCAGAGCTGCTCGGCTCAGCTGTCACTCCTGGAGTCCCCACTGCAGGTTTCTTTCCCCTGCCATCAGCTTTGCACAAGCAACTCATACAAATCAATTGTATTCCACATTAAAATTCTGAACCATGTGAAGTCCTGCAAAACAGTGATGCGAGTCAGTGATCCAAATGACAGGCTCAGTAATTTACTTGCTCTCATTCCCCACTTAATTCTTTAGAAGAGCAACTGTTCTGTGTTCATTTAAGAATGCATGAATTCAACTTGGAAGTAGTATTGGGCAAACAAAAGGCAGCAGAGTTACTGCTCCATTTTCCCCTTCACTGATCAAGAGTATTTAAAAAAAATAAAAAAAGAAAAGAGAAAAAAGTAATTTGCAAAGAGTTTTGTTTAGTGCTCTTTAGTCAGAAAGAAGAAATAAAGTAAGCACTAGCCATAGCCATTAAATATTCTTTTAATCATTAAAGGAAATGTGCTGGGGATCTGAAAGTAATCACCTGTGCTGTTTTGTACTGGGTTTTTTTTTTACAAGCTGATGTACAATGAATTGAAATAAACTGGCATAATCAGAATTTTTAAAAGCCATCATCTTTCAGAAACCACTTTTCTGTCACTAAAAGCTTTATGCTTTCCACTGGATCAAGCTTAATTAAGGTGATAATTGTTCCATTTCAGACTGGGAAGACCCCCGAGTGGATAGCTCTGTAATTTTCAGCAAGGCTTTCTTTGATCTCCATTTGTTTCTGTAAAGTCTTCGTACTGGCCAGATTTACCCAGAGGAAGATTTCTACCGTTACAAATTGATGAATTAGAAATTGAAATTAGGCATTGCATGATACCTGGGTGTATTTTGTTTATTTCAGAGCCTCAAAACTCTTGAGGACAAATTTGGCTCTCAGCTGTACTAATGGGATTGCACTGCTGTGTGTTGAGAGCACAAGTTGCCCTGAATCTCCGTTGATGTGCAATTTCCAACCAGGCACATCAGCAAAAACAAACCCAGCCAAGCCAGGGCTCTGAGCAGCCTGGTTTTGTGAGCTTTTGTTGCAGTGATGCAGAGCTCACCAATTCCAGCTCACTGCTGCAGATTGCCTGCCAAGCCCCAGGTCTGTCAGGATGGGTCCATACAGGTCCAGGCTCTATCAGGATGCGGTCCTGCACACGTCTTTTTGGGGTTGGTCCTGCTTATCTGAAGTTTGATTATACTTTACTGTGGCATCAACACTGTCTGGCTGCAGAGCCCATGCTCCTCTTACACAAATAACCATCAGCCTCATCCTTTTCAGCCGTGTTTGACATGGAAATGTCATGTGTGATCTCCAAGCTGTAAGGAAAACATCATCTCTAGAGTATCTCTACTAGACTTCAGTGTCTTCTACCATGTAACAGCTGCTCTTGCAAAGTTGCCAGTCTGTGCCGGACTTCACTGAAAAAGGACTAACCCACATTTCTGGAGCCAGTCCTTCCAGTTTTCCACTGCTGTCTAACTCACGCTCACTCCTTCAGTTTGGTTGGTTTTCCAGGAGCTGTTTAAGAGAGAAATGAGGTTTTTTTCACAGGCATTTTCTTCATTTTTTTTTTTCCCCCTTGTTCTGTCACTAACTTGTTTTTTCTATTCCGTCTTTAATCTGCTCTCTTTATGGACTCAGCTTCAGAAAAGGGAGCGCTCTTGCAGGGCCTATGTCCAGGTATTTCTTGTGTTTTTAATACACGTGTCCAGTTGTTTGACTGAATGACTGTGAAGTGGGTCTTGTCTCTGTGAATAATCTGGTTATTACCACCTTTGTGGCAGCAAGTTCTAAGGTTAAGGTTACAGGATAATAATGTCATTTTTTATCTCACCAACCTATCCCATTTCTCTCAGACTTGAAAAAAATTTGGGACAAAATCTCAGAACCAAAGAGTAGAAAAAAACACAAGAGAGATCTGACAAGATTCATCCAGCCATCTGAATGAGCAGAACAGTATGGAGATGTTCAAGTAAAGAATGCAAAACTGCTGCTCACAGAGGTGTCTCCAGACCAACAAGATTTTACTTACAGCATGTCACTCACATTACTGCCACCTGCATTTCCTTAGTTTTCCTTCTTCCCCTTCTACACTTTCAAATTTAGAAACAATTCAAAATGGCAACACTGGTCATGAGGGAGGAGGTAGGATTGTAATGAAATGCCGAGTGTCTCACAGATGTTGGAAGGAGGAGAGTGCTGCAAACAATACATAGAGTAATGAACATAACATCCCGTGAAATTACCCAGGTCTGGCCTGACTTTCACAGGCTTATGTTGTGTTTGATGTGAACAAAGTCAAGCTCCAGCATTCTGGAAAGATCACACTCGTGGGCTTTTCAGGAGTGGGACCTCAGGTTATTTTACTAATCCTGTCACCTTGCCTTATAGCATTTGCTCCAGTATTTGTTTGGGTTTTTTTTTTTTTATATAAATCTGTTTTGTATACTGTAGGTTTAAGAAATGTGAATGTTTTACCTTCTAATCTCTGTTTTGTGCTTGTGAATGTCGATATTGTTCTTATGGGTGGTTGTTCATTATTTATATGTATATGTGTAATGCATAAATGAACTCTATGTTTCTGGAGGGGGCTGTCTGTACCTGCATTTTCCTGCAAAATTCCACTTCCTACAGTCAGTGCTGACTTACTTTGTGAACACATATTTAATTCAGCAAATGGGATTAGATGGTCTGGACTTCTAGGGCGTTAGAAATAAAACAGTACCCCTCTGTGCTGGTAGGCTGCCTTCCCTCTGGAAAATGTCACTAGAGAAAGTCACCTTTTCCCTTCCATATACATTAATGATGGGTAAAGATGAGTTAGGAGTTACACATCCCTTGTCTGGGATCCCAGAGAAAGCAGCCAGCAGGCATTTGAAGGAATTTAGGAAAGTTTACGCTGTGGTGCTCACTCCCAAGCTAGCTACCTTGTGTACTGCTACCACTGGAAACGTGGTGAAACTGCTTTGACTCTGGGCTGCACAGTCCTGCTGGGGACACTGGGTGCTACCTGATCCATAGTTGTGCTTTCCACTGGCTGCACAGACATTCTCCACAGAGCCTATGCATGCTCCTGCTCTTCTGTCTTTTTTCAAACAGTAGTGATTGGTGAGTTTAATATACCCTACAGAGAGCTTGGCCTTGATAGAATAAAGTCTGAATACTCTGCAAAAACTTAAGCTTACCCTTAATTTCAAGGACTCCTTTCCTTTCACTTGGAAAGGTTGCTTGCGTGTTTAAACATTAATCACACACCTACTTCTTTAGTAGATGAAAACTGATGAAAGCTCATTGCTTGAGCTGTTAAGTATGGATATGGACAAATCTGGTACATATATTGAAGAGGACAGTCCTGTAAAAGAGGGCTTGAAGAATGAATTAGATGACCTAATTGAACCTTTCCAGCTCTGCTTTGTACTGTGTGGAGGTAAAGTAATGCGTCTCGACACATTTTCATACAGTATGCTTCCATTTGGAAAATTGTGTGGCTAAAGTCATCAAAAAATCTAGTCAGGGAGAGGTTGTCTGTAATAGCAATTAGATGTGGCTGCAGATAGTCCTGTTGCAGGCTACTCATCCTTTACCAGGAAGTGAAATGTCTGGGCTGGCTGAGGGAATTAAGCAGGGATTTTTCAACAGATCTTGAGTGGTGGCACCCTGGGTTTGGTAAAGTCAATGGAACATGGGAAGTCACTGGGACATATGGCCTTGTTGGCAGAGAAATAGAGTGTTCAACTTTGCTGACATGGTCTCCTCATGCTGATCCCATTATTGTGGAGAGCATCCCTGGCTCAATTTGGCTCAGAGGGCTGGAAGTGTATCTTTAATTCTGTGTTCCCTAGACAAAGGGAGGCGCAGTGTGAAGTTTATGCAAGAGATGTTCATAGTGAATATCAAAAGTGCTGTTGAGGAAAGGTGTTTTTTT